GTTGTTGTCCAAAGCGTTCGGGTGCAACCAAATCAAGCCAGTCCGGGCAAACAGTTATACAGAGTAATCTGCATCCAAGACCCATATTTAGAAATTAGAGCCAAACAGGAGCTAGGTTGTTGAAGGTAAGACTCCCTCCTGCCCACAGGTTTGGAAAGAAGCAATGAACTATGAAACCTGATTGGTCTGTTTTTAATGTTCACATCTTGATTCATGGGTGAAAAAATGCATAGCACACTCGGTTGGCCGATGTCCAAAAGCTTTTTTATTAACAAAATAACGTTTCGGCATAAAAAGCCTTCATCAGATATTTTTCTTGTTTTGGACCACAGCACGCACATCTTGATTCATGAAAATACTGAAATAAAAACACCAGCATCATGCAGCATGGGTTAACACAAACCTCTTAAGACCAAAATGAGAGTTATGCAAAGAGGCGTGATGACTTTTTAATAAGAGTCATGTGGTACCAGACCCTGAAGGAAGCACTTCGCACCCATTGCCCACTTCCTATTTGGAACGTAGCAGCTAGCAGGTTAGCTAAGTCCATTTATACACAGAGTATACAGTACGAACTTGACTTGCTTGGAAGAGCTACACAACTGGCTGATTGTGCCCAATCATGGAAGGGTACAAGGTAGTTAACTTTTTCAAACTACAGAGTTCCAAAAGCCGCACACAAAACATAGCCTTAGCTTCAGTCTTTTCCATTTTCCCCTCCCGCTCCTTCATAAGGCTTTGTAGGGATGCCAAGATGAGGCCCTACGCTTCCAATGTAATTTTGAAATGTGTAATTACAGAGGCTTGCTTGTTGTAAATTTAAACATTTGCGAAAACCTGTAATATGCAGCAAGAAGGACATATTGAGTTGATAAAGTGGAGAGTTATTAAATATATTCGAAATGCCAATGTTGTTTTTACCTCCAAATCAGTTCAATTGAGCGGAGATTATGGGATGCATGTGGGTTGAAGGATCCACAGCTAACCACTTGGATGAGAACATACCAGGACTACTGAAGCTATCTGCAATTACCGCCCTCTCTTAAGTGGTTGTATTTTCGGCCAATCTACTTCTATCTGTCATGAGGGTGTAAAATGCTAATAGGGCAATTCTATTAACATAATATTATTTAACTATGAGATGGAACCATTAATGTATTGATTACCCTGGGTCTGAATTGCAAACTAAAAACAAACAAGAGTGCCAACATGAACCATGCACTTCTTTAGTGACAGTGCAGTTATCTGTGCTGAGCAGGTTTTGCTCAACCATAAAAAGGTTTCTGAGTTTTGTGTTTTACTCCGTTGAAACTGATGTACATTTTCACTATGTACAAGATAAAATGCAAACCTTAAGTTAATAAAAATTATAGGTTATACAACTTTGTATGTAATATGAATGAATCACTGTATAGAGTGATTTTGATAATTAAATTCAATAATAAATGCCTATGGATTAAAATGTATAGTTTTCTAAGTGTGTCCAGTGGAATTAAGTGGCACAAACAACACAAAGGAATGCTAATTAATGTTAATACTTAGTTCTACAAAAAATATCCCTCTTCATAAATCACAGTCTTTACTCATAGCCGCTTTATTTATTTATACATCCCACCGGTCCTCAAAAACAAAGATGAAAAATAAATGTGGAAAAAAAAGAAGAATATTTTAATTAATGATTTACTAACTACTTTGTCCATAGCTTCCTTTGTTAGACCGGCCGAGCAAGTCTCTGGTGCCCAGTGATAAAACTTTGAACATGTTTTGATATGCATGAAAGCTTTTTATGCTTTTGCCTCAGTGTCCTATGGCTCTAGAACTAGTTTCTTACCCCCCTCTGTTCCTTAAACATACATTCAGACACTGCCTATACATTTCACTATGACAGTACTGCTTACATTGACTTTAAAGCTTAACAAACATGCTAATCCTGTGAGTAGGAAACATTTATGCCAAGTATGTAGGGTAAGAAGAAGTCTGTTATGTGCTGTTAGCTTAGAGCCGATATGGACGGGGGGAATGCCACTTAGTCCGAGATCACCTACTTAGTGTAAACATTCCATTCCATTCCATCTTTGGTTATTACAGGGAATTCATATGCCACAAAACACATAGACATTATATGTCCAAACAGAATATTGAGGTTTGTTTTCCATGCCGCTCAAGGTCTGTTTGGGTTGGTGAAAATTATGCATGCTTTTGGGAAGATAACAAAATAGGACCTTGCGAATAGACAAAACACGCTGCCAAAGTATGGTCCTGCGTACCTTAAAGGGCTTTTTTTCCCATGTATCTGAGCAATGTTTGTCTTGTTTAAGCAGCTCGTGGAGTCAAAATATGTCTACTAGATCCAACTAGAGTGTCTTACGTCCAAAAATCAGGAAGTGCACGTTGACATGGTAGTTGTTGTCAGCTTTAACGTGATGGCAAAACTCTCTGTGCACTCAGAAAGTTGTGAAAAGGGCTTGTAAACTGTATAATGTCTAATAGGATGCTAAAAATGTAAGTGAGGAAAAACTGAACCATTGCAATTGTTTAAAAGTACCTAGTTATGTTTTTTCACATATTTCAAACCCTAAACATCAGGTACGTAGCCTTTAAATTACTCCTCTCTTTACAGTTTATTTGTTCTATCTATTCCTGTCCGCTGGGAAGTGCCCGGCATGGGTCTAAGCCTTGTCTGGGGGCCTAAAACATGGGGGATTCCTTATTTGGGCATGAAAATTCGCATTGCCAGTTCTAACTAAAATAACTCACAGTTTGTTGATGGGGCTACCTTGGGAAACGGGACCACACACGTCACTGTCGACAAATTGGAACAACTGCCTTGGCTGCAGCATTCCACATTTGGGTTAAATGAGCGTTAAAAAGGCAGTCTGTAAGCTAGCTAAGTAAAAGTAAGACTGTAAATAGTCTGTTCAAAAGCACTGTTTCTAAAACGTTGAGCTCACAATGAACAAAGTCATTTAGCCAAACAAAAGCGTGGAAATCCTTCAAAAAGATCTGTTAAAAATCTATTTGCTAACTAGATCATAAATGAGGACAGGGATATTTGCAAAACATAACACTATTTTACCGTAAGTCTTATAATGTTTGAGCAAGCAGATTATGTTGCATTCATACTGGCCATTTACTGTAAATACCAGATCAAGGTCAGGGAATCCAAAGGGTTTATGGTGAAACGTTAATGTTTTTGCAGGTATTACTAGGTGCATTAACCTAATTTGGGCCGTAATGATTAATTGGAATAAGCGTTACAAGTATGAAAATAATCTTAATTCCTGGTATTTTGGTCAATATAATCATTATTTTGTGTTATACAAGCTTAATCAATAATACGCTTTTTATACATATTCTCCACCTAGAAGCTTTCAGTCACCAGATTTCAACCTTTATTTGGTTAAAAATGTATTTAAAAATTCAGTGTGCAATACAAAGAATCATTTGACTAGACATCTAAATAAGCAACACTGAATAGTCCACTACAAGCTAGTTGCAGCCCTAAACCTAATACAAGTGCTAGTATAACAAATTGCAGGAAGACCTTGAAAACCTTTTAATATTACATTTTAGCTTTTGCACATCTACAACAAACCTGCCTGATAAGTGTGGTTGTAAATGGAATAAAAGCTTAGTCTGAATCCTGCACCCTGTTTTAGCTAACCTACTTGTCTCATGTACTTCTTTGGGTTCAAAATAACACAATTTTTTCACAGCAGGTGGCGTAAACCTGTCTCATTTTGTATCCAGCGCAAAACTTCCCTGTGCAGTTTACAGGCGGTATCAAACAAAGCGCAGAGTGTCATACAAAATCTGGAACATCACTTTGCACCTATTAAAAATATTTCTCTGGCATTCAACTGAACCGGATCTACACTGACAACTTTAAAGGAACCCAATGAAATATTAATCGCTGCACCATTTTACAGAGTACACGATGAGGATTCACTTTGGAGTGTTAGAGTGGAAGAAGCCCCAGTAGGCCTTTGCCCACACGTACGCTGGTGTTCTTAAAGGTTTAGTACATGAAATGGGAATGCTGACCAATTCTATCAAAAAGAGCCCGTGGAGCGTTCAGATACAAAACTGTTATGAAATGCCAACGCTTAATCCAATTGAGAAGTGTGGAATTGTGTAGTAAATTCCCTGACAGGAGCAACAGAACTGCCCTATACAAAGTGGAAGATGGAAATTTCCGCAGTAGAAAAACCATGCATAGAAGAAAAAATGCTGCTTTTCAATGTGTAAATAGCTCTGGAAAGAATTTTTGAATGCTATGGGCTGCTTACAATGAAGAAATACTCTAGCAATACAATTTCTACTCTTTGTAAGACCAAAAATGGTTCTTTGGAATGTATTTTCACACACAACACTGCATGAAACTATTTGAAATTAGTTAAGTTTATATCTTCAGTCAAATGTCTTGAAACTAATACCATTGTAAAGATTTAATCAGTACGTTATGTTGAAAACTGAATGATTGTTGAATATTGAATTATATGACTTTTTGCAGTTTGTTATGCAATAGCATTACAAACATTGTTAATGATGTTAACCTTGCTAACAGTAGATGCTAAATCTAACTAAAAAACAGATATTCAGCAAAATACTGATCTACAGTGTACTCTAAAGCAGTGTTTCTCAAATGTGTTACGTGTACAGTTCTTCAGTTTGTGGGATTGCCTAAATTAGAATGCATTTTATCCACATTCCTGCCCTCTTTTGGATAATTTCTTGTTTACAACTACAGTGGAAATGATTGTGTCTACATTTAGACCTGGTTTAGCACTAGATTAGACCTGGTAAAGTCCTGTTATATAGTTGATCTGACGGCACTCGGAGAGCCATATCTTGTCCTTGATGATTTTTGGTGTGAAATATTTTAGAGACTCCAGATAATAACTTAACCTAATATCCTTTGGTTAAACAAAATACCAGTAACATTCAGTGATTTCAAGTGTTAATGCTGCCTATAGTGTGTATCTGAATCATTATCTTACCTGTTTTGGAGTTGATAGCAAAGAAGCCTTGAGGGTTTCCACTGGTGATCCTATAGGTCAGCTTGTCGCTGGATTGGGTGTCGGGATCCACGGCTTCTATCTGGATAATGGACACATCTTTGGGGGAGTTCTCCATCACAGAGGGGTAGTAGACAGGTTCAGAGGTCTGGGGGGCGTTGTCATTGACATCTTGCACCTCAATGTAGACCTCCACAAAGGCAGATTGAGGAACCACACCCCGGTCCATGGCGTAAACAGTGAGCCAGTAGTGAGGGGTGGTCTCATGGTCGAGGAGCTCCTGAGTGCGGATCACGCCTGGAATGACAAAGATGTGTGTTAATAATGTTTCAACTAAAGGAAGCAATAAAAATCAACTGAACAGAAAATAGTATTATCGAATTGCAGATACTAATCAATACTAAAATCAAAATATTAAATCAATCAACATACTAAATCAATACTAAAACTAGTATCAGACTAGGTACTCATTTGAGCAGGTATCAGTACAAAAAAAAGTCACATTTACAGGTCAGAAATAAACCTTTCCTGAATAGGTTTAGAATGATCTTGAGCTGTATCAGAACACGTGTAAGATCACATAGACAAATACATCGTCCATGGAGCCACTATGGAACATACCTGGACAACAGATCACATGATAATATAAAAGAAAATACTATGATTTAATGTTGAAAATCACATTCCCTTTTCTAAAGTATCACTGTGCTACTGGAATCAGTATCAAGTATATTCCTTAGGATCAAATCAAGTTTGAAATTGTAGTATTGCGATAGTACTAACTAAAAGTACAGATGTAATTTTATACTGCTAGAATAGATATGTTTCTTATAGTCTACTGTACATATTTACTCTACTGTTCTGCTAATATTTACTTTTCAAAGGTTTCAAACACACATCAACAATGGTCCAGATTGAATCATGGCTCACTGTGGAAACTACAAATATCTGGTATCCACTTTATTGTATGAATTCTTTTAGTTAGTAACAGGTCGATGATGCTGCTTCTAACATTTTGCCGGCTTAGGAATACTGTTAATAACAACACAACCAAGAACATTGCTTTTAACACCAAAAGATTCAAATACATCAATGTGGACAATGCCCCTGTATGGTCTCCAAACTTTAGCTCAGCTTCTGGATGGTTCTGATTGATAAAATGATTTGAAAATGATTTACTAAACACTATCAGTGCATACTTTTAATAACTGCAATTAAAACAGAATAATATTCTTCTAATACTTTATCTCTACTGTTTGAACTCTGCTAAAAAGTCACATGTTTTTACTGACAAATGATTGGCCGTAGATCTTGTCATTAAAAATACACAAGTTGATCAGAGAAAATTAGAGATGATTGAATCTTGATCTTGATTGAAATTCAATTCATTGTACATCCCTAATGGGGCATATGTACCAATGAAGTTTTCATTGACCAACATCATCTACTAGTAATGGGATATTAAATAATTTATGGTGACAGAATGGTATTAGACTGCTTTACTGGGCATCACTGCACACTGATAACAAAACTTGTGAATGGATCCTACAGTAGCTAACCCCTGAGTACTCCTGTTTTCTTCCTGATTAGTAAATAATGCATCCCACGTCAGGCCAAGTGTCCAAGTATACTTTATAGATGGAAAAAAACACCCACACCGTCTTATCTCGCATCCTGTCAGTTTGCTAGAATTTTACATCACAGACTTCACTTGACGCCTAAAAATCGATTCGCAGTGGTAATAAGAGCATAATGTTGAACAAAATGTTGAGGCTATGGGGGGAACTTTGACACACAAATGTCAAGGTGCTACATTCACAACAACCGACCGATACTCTGGTGTTTACACTTACTAGTGGAGAGGTTTTTTTATTGCCTTGTGGGGGTTGTAGCCCTCAGCTGAGCAAACAGAAAGCTTTCAGAACATGTGAGTTGTAGAAGTTGACAATGGTTAAATGGACGAGTGGAGGATGGGTGGCAATGGTAGATGCAAGATTTAAAAGGCTGGTTGTAAAGTAAGGGTAGTGAATGTTTCAGTTCAAGGCAATCAAGTGCAGGCCTGTATTTCATCAAAGTAATACAAAAGTTAACAGCTAATATACCATCATTTGTGCAAAGATTTCTTGCACCCTACAGCAAAAAACTGTCATAGACCTTGTTTTAATGCCCTGGAATAGCTTTAAAATGACTTTGATTTAAATGGCCCGTCTTTGTGTGAATAATTACCAGTACCAGAGATGACAACAGAATGATATATTGGATCTGGAAACTAACTATAAAGTACGTCAAACAACCGTTCTTAATTAGGACATGCCAATCTTAGTTCCAGATCTATACATCTTTGTATTGTGATACAGGAAGTGCTTTCTACAAAAAAGGTAAAAAGTAACTGTTAACTTGAGTAGTGCTTCAAGACATAACAAAGTGGAACAGAGCACTTCAAGCTTTGGGAATGCAAACAGCCCAATAATGTAAAGTAGGACTAGTGTTTTAGGGTCTGCCACCAAATTCTCTCCATGGATATATTACTTGGAATCTTCCACAAAATGGCATTACATTTATTTATCTCTACAGAGACAGCAGGTGACACCTAGCCTGATTCATCAGTCGGTTTCACTTCGTGGAAACCGTCTGACCTCGCAGCATTAGGATTTGTTCGCTCGACGGTAGGCAGGTACTTTTTTTTAATTAAACCAATCCCTGCTATTTGGTCATGACGTATGTAATGTGCCAAATCATGTAGGAAGAAGGGCAATAACATCTATCACCTTGAAAAAATTCACCAAACGAATCGTTGCCAACACAGAATGTATGGCTTTGTCTACATCTATCTTGACCACTTTGTTTACTGTTGCGCTGTGCCACAAAAGGGACCCATACAGACACTTGAGTTTGATGTCATGGCTTCACAGCTCTCCGCTGATTGTCCGGTGTGCAGTCTACAACTTCCAGGGTTCTTGCAAAACGTCTAGTGTACTTTGATTCCTGACCTAGTCACTGGAGAGAAATTAAATTGAGCGGAGGCACTAGGTGGCATCAGCCTGGCTAGGTGATGCCATAAGGTCAAGTTACAAGTCAGATCTGTGGAGAGGTGAGCCCACTCACAGTAAGAATGCAAGTCTTTAAGTAAACAGAAACATATTTTATTGAGTAAATGCAAGATGGTTATGTTTAATGCCATATCAGGACATTCCAGACAAAGCAACAGCATCTCCATGGAGAAAACCAGAAAAGTTATACAATTTACTTTCAGAATCAATTTTGCATTATATAGTACCTTTAAATCAATAGCCTTTTCGGTGTGTGTGTGTGTGTGTGTGTTATTGGACTACTGGTGTAACCTTGAATGCAGCTGTGGACATTTACAGGCATATTAGGGTTCATCATTATCTGCAGCTAATAAAAGTGAACGATGGTCTAGACCCACCTGCGTGTTCTCTGTACCATGCATGTTATGAGGGGGAGGCCTAGATACTAGTCTCCGCTGCACCCCTTTGAAAAATCACAAGGACATTTCCTGAGCCTTTTACATGGACTCCCTTCCTCTCTTTTACTGCTTGGCTTTGTTCGCCCACTGTAACTTGATGAACTGTAACAGAGCACAGCCAAACCTCTTGCCCGGGGTAATGAAAGATTTCACAGTGACTTCAAATGACTCGTTGCAAAATTCCTCAGATTAAACTTGAGAGGAGAGTTTGGGGGGATAGCTCATTTGTTCTCAACTTTTGGATTTTTTATTTTTTTTATTTTTTGCAATTGCACCGACCTGGGACCTCTCTCGTCATTAGTCTTCATTATGGCTACCGCTACCTTAGCTGCAGGCGTGTAATAAGAAGGGTAGCCACGCACGGGAAATAGGTAGTTCCCCCTAAATGTAGGAGTTTCTGTGAAGAAATACCCAGGCCAAATACTTTAGAAAGTAAATGAAATGAAACCAATGATGTAGAAATGGTGACTGTACATAAGTGAATAGAAGTGCATATTACAAGGCACGGAAAATACAATTAACAGTACAGCATAACAGATCCAGAGATCATACAAGATTATCAATAACCAGGAAAAGTGGACAGGAGTTAGGGTTGGGAATCACGGGGGGGCCCACACAATATGATACGGTACATGGCTCAGGATTTAAATTGGTCAGTGGTGTTTCAGTCAACTAAACATTGCATTAGTTAACTAATTATTTTAATGGAAATTCATTCTCCCGTTTTCATACAAACATGGAATTTACAAGTTTGTTTTTATTTTTTTCAGTGAACTTTGGGTCAAATATGTACATGTATATGGTTGGACCATAGAAACCTTTTGCACGCCCCCTTTAATGAATCGATTCACAAGGCAAGTCTTGAGGCAACCAAGAATTTCATCATCTACAGCACTATAGTGTACTGGTGGTATACATAGATAGATGCATTGGGGCATCACGAAGTTGCAAAATAAACAAGATAACCACAGTCAGTCGAGCACTCAACGACTCAATCAAGCTACCTGCTACCTCAAGGGGAGATTATTGAAATATCTATAATATACTAGTATTGTGAATATGGAGTATATTGTCTATACTTAAAATGCTCTAAAAAGAGAGATGAAAATGGAAAAATTAAGCTGCCAAATCGGATGTAAACATTTTTTGCACTATAGTGGGCAATTTTACAGTTATTTCTCACTTATTTCTCCACGTCTCTTGGACTGACATGTCTAAATATTGCTGTTGGGATACTTAGTATAATGATTTCTTGTACACCACTGAACCAGTTTATTTCAAGCAATATCCTGAAAATAACAGATAAGTGTTGAACATGGCTATGCCCTTGAGCGAAGTCTCAGAAGGGTAAAAGAAAATAGGGTGAAGGAGATGTATTAGCTCTAAAATGGACATAAATTAGACCGAGAGAGCGGACATGAAATTGGTTGGAGTCGATGGGGTGAGGAGACCGGGGGCAGAGGGGCTCATGTGCGCTCATGTACCCCGCACTAATAAGATAAGAGAGGGAAGGACCAAAAGACAATGGGGGAAACTATGAGACATCTTTTGTGCTGGTGCCAAGGAGGGGCCTATGCCTGCGTGCTTGACTGGCAGACGCCGACCTTGCAGAACAATAGCACTCCTCGGCACAGTCATGCTTCCTGCTCGCACTTCGGAGCCCGGCGGCTATCAGTAAGAGAGGAGGCAATATGTTTTAACAGGCTCTTGATGATGGTATTCTTATCTGAGTGCCAAGCTCGCTCACTCACTCACTTCTCCTTCCTGCTCTTGTGCTATGTAAATCCATAGAACCAAAATATATTTTTCA